CACCTTAGCCAGAGCTCCACTTCTGGCTTTTTGATAGTTAACTGGAGATAAGGGTCTCATGGACTTTCCTGCATGAGCTGGCTTCCAATTGCTATCCTCAGATCTCAGCCTCCAGAGTAGCTAGGATTATAGGTGTGAGCCATTGGCACTTGGTAAATCTATTTAATTTCTTTTTTGTGTGGCAGTGGTTGGTGTACCTTTTTTGGTTAAAATTATTCCTAATGTTATTTTCAGTGTTTTAAGGTTGTTCTTTGCTGGACTATAGAAGCTGTTGCTCCTGTGTTGCTCTTGAACCCTGCAGCTGAGCTGAGTTCTCTTTGGGGTCTGTGTGGATTCTGTGAGATTCTCCATGTAGAGAATAGTGTCATCTGCAAATAGTAGGTCAGTTTGCTTCCTTTTCACCTTGGAAGTGTTTTCTTGCCCAACTGTCAGGCTAGAACTTGCAGTGTGACGTTGAACAGCAGCGCTAGAGCTGTGTCTGTGTTGTTCTGACCTCACGGTTGTCTGTGATGTCAGCTTTGAGAATGATCTCAGCTGTGGGTGAGCATCCTTATCATGTTCCTGATTGACCCTGGACTATGGCGTCGCTGCGGGCTTTCCCTAACGTCCCTGTTCCATGGAAGAACTCCCTCCCCCCCCCCCCCCCATCTCCCTCCCTCCACCTCGAGCCTTTCCTGGAAGCATGGTGTGTGTGATTTCTGGGCTTGGCAGCTGGCTTTCTTCGATCACTTTTGAGCACAAAAGGGTGGTGGTCTCACTGTGGAGTGTGAGGAGCAGCTGACCGGGGCTCCCACAGCCTCCCTGACCCCCGTGTGACCCTCCACAGCCCTGGCGCTTGGCCCTCACGTGTCCCCTTTGCTTTCCCAGCCTGACTCTGATTCCACCAAACACTCAACCCCGTCAAACAGCTCCATCCCCAGCGGCCCACCGAGCCCCAACTCGCCCCACCGAGGCCAGCTCCCCCTGGAAGGCCTGGAGCAGCCGGCCTGGGACGCCTGAACCCAGCGCTCGGCCTCCGCAGCGCCGAGACTGAGCTGCCCGCCGCGCCGCACCGCGCCGCAGGAGGTGTAGAGTCAATTTGTAGATACGGAGATGCAGAGAAGTCTATTATAGTAATGATCCGTCTTTCACCACGTGGTTGGGAGGAGACCAGAGGCACCCTCCCTTCCGTTTGCACATGAAGGACCACGCACCTCTCCCGCCGAACCTCTGGGAGGCGCTGGCTTGGCCCCGGCCTCGGCCTCAGCCTCAGCTGCCCGCAGGGAGAACTGGGCCCCCAGCAAAGCCGCCCTGGCTCCGTGCCTCCCACGCCACTTCCTCAGCCAGAGCACAGAGGACAGGACAGGCGTCCTCCACGGCGGCCTCGTCCATTCGGCGCTTGAGTGGTCAGCTGCCAAGATCCTGCTGACCCCTCAGTGCGGCCATCGCGTCTCCTGCCAGCCGGCCCATACCGGCCTCGGCACCAGGCGTGGCCGCCCTTCCCAAGTGTCTCCCAAGCCACCGTGTGCCAGGACGTGGCAGAGCCCCAGGGCCACCCAGCCGCCCTGGGCCCTTCCTCACCCCTCCCTGCATGGAGCCCCGACCAGTGCCCCGCGCCTCCTGGCGCCCCCTCCTCCCGCACCAGCCCCGTCTGCCACCTAGAACCGCCCCCCCCATGCCAGGCCCGGCCATGCACGCGCGCTGCCGCGTGCTGACTACTGCGTGTATTTAATCTCCCCTCGTGCCATGCAGGTGAGGTCCTCGCACCACCTCTGCTCGGCTCCCGAGCACGCACGCCCCCGGGCTCATGCGGGGCCAGGCGCCCCCTGGGTTTGGGGGTTCTGGTTTTTACTTTTTTAATGTCAGTCTGAGTCTTTGTAATTATTGAATTGTGAGAACATTTTTGAGCAATTCACCTGTCAATAAAGCAGATGGCAGTTTTAAAGTTCCCTGGTTTGTCTGGCTGAGGTCACCAGGCCCCCGGGGAACCTGTCCTCTAATGCAGCAAAAGCAGGTCTGCGAGGGGACACCCGCGTGGGGGGGGGGCGCCCAGGCCCCTCCGCAGGGCAGGGGCATGGTGGGGCGCGGCAGTGCTGCTGGGAAGCAGGTGGAGTGCCGAGCAACGCCCGAGACCTCGGAGACCCCTGGGTCCCATGAGCAGCAGAGTCCTGTGGTCACTGCCGGTCTTGCCCCCGGCCTGGCGGCTGGGCGGGGCAGGGCGGTGGTGGCTGCAGGAGGCATGGAAGGGCCTTCCTGCCATCATGGAAAGGTAGGGACTAGGGGGTGGTTCTGGGGGGACCAGCAAAACAATTTCCACAACTGAGTCCACGTCTGACAACAGAACAAAAGCCACTGGGCTCCTAAGAGCTAGGACTCCAGGCACACACCACGGGCATCCAGTCTTTTTTGCAAAAATAATTTTGCAGGGGCTGGGAAGGTGGCTCAGTGGTAATTGCTTGCTTTGCATGCATGAGGCCCTGGGTTTGATTCCTCAGCGCCACATAAGCAGAAAAAAGCCAGAAGTGGCGCTGTGGCTCAAGTGGTAGAGCGCTCGCCTTGAGCTGAAGAGCTGAGGGACAGCGCCTCAGAGTTCAAGCCCCACAACCAACCAAAAAAAAAAAATTATTAAGGTGCTGTATAGGGGGATTGTCATTTTGTAAGTCAAATTCCTTTTTAGAGGTCACCCCCTTTGCCTCCCTCCAAGACAGAGAGAACAAAACAAAGCAAAAAGTAATGAGGCTATTTTTGCTTTTTGGGTTTCTTTGGGGGGAGAGGGGCAAAGTATTATAGTATAAATAGTATTTTAAATGTTCAGAAACCCTGCTGGAAAAAATCCTTTAATTTTTTAGGCTGGGCACTGGTGGCTCACACCTGTAATCCTAGCTACTCAGAAGGCTGAGATCTGAAGATTATGGTTAAAAGCCAGCCCAGAAAGTCAGTGAGACTCTCATTTCCAATTAACTACCAAAAAGCCACAAGTGTAGCTGTGGTTCAAGTAGTGCCTCAGTGAGCCCACAGTTCAAGCTCCAAAACTGGCACCAAAACAAAGCCACTTTTCAAACTACAGCAATTGCTATCTCTGTATTACAACTTACAAGTCTGATCCTTCACATTTGCCTAGTTTATTTTCAAGAGTTATTTCTGGATTACCCATGATCACTGAGATAGTGAATAAGCATAATCAGGTCTTTTGGGATTTTTTGGGTCAGTCATAAGGCCTGAACTCTGGGCCTGTGCCCCGTCTCTCAGCTCTTCAGCTCAAGGCTAGCGCTCTACCACTTGAGCCACAGCGCCACTTCCCGCTTTCTCTGCTTATGTGGTGCTGAGGAATCAAACCCAGGGCCTTGTGCATGTAAGGCAAGCACTCTACCACTTTAATCAGGACTTAGTTGTTTCTTTGCTGGAAATTACAAGTTGTTGAACTTGCATTGTGTTGGTGCTGGCTTGTTCTGGAAGTTCCTTGGGTCTCTGGATGCAGTGTTTAAGATGGGACTGCGGCACCCAGTACATAAGAGCTCTGGCGGCTGAAGTCAAGAGAGAGCCCAGCCTTTGATCCCCAGTGTCGACAGAATAAATAGGAGCAGGAGGGTGGCAGCTTGATCTATTTGCCATGTGATGCTCGTGATGCTGGGAGACCCAGCACCCAGGTGTGCACAGACCTGCGCTCAGCCTGGCATGAAGGTGGACCAGAGAAACTCCCGAGATTCCACAGCCTGTATCCAGGTCCACCACTCCCTGTGCATCTGACTACTTCTTCCACAGCACCCCACAATCCCAATCTCCTACAGGCTCGCCCCAGGTTCCACTCTTCCTGGAATCGTAGGAGAAAATTGATATCTCAAAGACACAGACCTCAACTAATGCCAAGAAGGGCTTAAAGCCACAGGTGACAGAATCCCAGGGGAGGACTGACAGCCACATTTTCCCTATTGTACCAGGTAATCAGACACAGACACAGAGGCTGAGAGGTCCCTACAAATGGACATTTTTTTTTTTTGGGTCCAGTCGTGGGGCCTGAACTCTGGGCCTGGGTGCTGTCCCTCAGCTCTTCAGCTCAAGGCTAGCACTCTACCACTTGAGTCACAGCGCCACTTCCGGCTTTTTTCTTTTTGCTTATGTGGTGCTGAGGAATCGAACCCAGGGCCTCAGGCATGCAAGGCAAGCGCTCTACCACTGAGCCACCTTCCCAGCCCCCAAATGGACGTTTTTGTTGCTATGAATTCTTAAAGCAGGAGGCCTTTGCAGACCTGTATAAAACCCTTTCCATCTGCCTTGTCCGGTCACCCACGTGGCCTTTGGAGTCCTCTAGCCCCAGGCAGCGCACCATCTTTCCCTTCTCTATCCGAGCCAGACCTGACGCCCCGACAGGTGTGGACCAGGGTGTGTTTCTAGTTAGGACCCTGGCAGAATGACGACTCATTCACAATGGTCAGCACCGGGAAACCACTGCATTGGTAAACACGTCCAATCACAAAAACCTCAGGCGCCCGACTTGTCTGCGATTTCCACAAATGCCTCATGGGAATCACCTGAGAGGTGGATCAGCTCGAGGGTCCACAGGCAAGCGACTTCCGAGACTCAACCGCGGCACCCGGACCCAAGACTCAGTCCACTGCCTGGAATCCAGCCGGAGGACGTCCAAGCCCCTCCTCCCCTCCTCTGACCTGACTAGATCTAATCTGACCTCCCACTGGGACACCCTTTGCTTTGACCCTCCGGGTAACCTCTGGACCCTGCTGTGTTAGTCACCAGTGAGTCATTAAGATGGGGGCTGTACCACCTGGAGGCCAGGGGAGAACACGGTGCATTCACAAAATGGACGTGGCTAGTGAAAGTCAGCGTGTCCGTGCGTCCCAGCGAGCAGCTCGCTCAGGACGCCGAGAACCCAAAGCGAAGCCAGGTTTAGGGCGGCAGTGGCCCACCACGCCCAGGGCGGTCGGCGGGTGGCGGGGCCGGGCCTGGACCCAGCGCTCGGAGGGAAGACCACCCGGCCCAGTCCTCGAGGGCGCGGCCACGCCAGCCACAGACAACCCTTTATTGGTTCTTGGCGTCCAAGGAGAGAGCAGGGAGGGTCGGGGTCAGAGGGCAGAGGTCGGGGGCCAGGCCGACGGCGGGCGGGGCAGCCGCGGTCAGGCCTGGGCCTCGGCCTCGGCGGGGAAGGTGAAGAGCGGGTTGACGAAGTAGCTTTGGCGGGCGTCGACGCTCTCCGGGGCCAGGCTGGGCGGCTGCGGGAACGGAGCAGGGTCAGGGTCAGGGTCAGGGTCAGGGGTCAGGGCAGGGCTCGGGGGACCCCCGGGCCTCCCCCTCACCAGCTCCACGGAGGCGGCCTCGCCGAACACGGGGTTCCGGAAGCCCAGGGGCACCTCTGTGGGCGCGGGCTCGGGCGCGCCGCGCCGCATCCACCTGCGGGCACGGGCCGGGGTGAGGCTGCGGGCGCCGGTGCGGGGCGCGGCCGCACCCCCAACGCCGCCGCCCGCGTACCTGAGCCTCCCGGTGCGGCACAGCAGCAGCAGGGTCCCCAGCAGCGCCAGCAGCACGGCGGCCCCCACGCCAGCCGCCAGCCCCGCGCGGGCCCCGGGTCCTTCCTGTTCCACGGTGTCGCCCCGCACGGGCTCGCCCGACAGCCGCAGGGCCGCGGACATCACCCCCAGGGCCGCGCCTGCGGGCGGGGCGGCTGGGCTCAGCTCCGGGCGCCGGCGGGGCGGACGCCCGGTGAGGAGGGGGAGGGGCGGGGCGCCCGGTGAGGAGGCGGAGGGGCGGGCAGGGAGGTGGGCGGGACGCCCGGTGAGGAGGGAGGTGGGCGGGACGCCCGGTAAGGAGGGAGAGGGGCGGGCAGGGAGGTGGGCGGGGCGCCCGGTGAGGAGGCGGAGGGGCGGGGCCGGCAGGGAGGTGGGCGGGACGCCCGGTAAGGAGGGGGAGGGGCGGGCAGGGAGGTGGGCGGGGCGCCCGGTGAGGAGGGGGAGGGGCGGGGCCGGCAGGGAGGTGGGCGGGGCCTTACCGTGCTCCTTCGCGTCGGCCACCAGGGCGCGGGCCAGCTGCTCCGCAGCACCGGCCACGGGCCGCGCCTCGGCCACCACCACCTGGATCTCCGTGCCCGCCGCGCGCGCCGCGGGGGAGCGCGGCACCCTGGACACCGCCACCTGCAGGCCCCGGTGCTGGGGCTGGGGAGAGGGCGGGGTTGGCGCGGGGCCGGAGGGGCCGGGCGGGCGCCCCTCGCTGCGGCCCGCGCCCCCATTACCAGAGCCAAGAAGAGGTCCAGCACCCGGGCTCGGTACCGCTCCAGGTCGAACGTGGGGCCGTGGTCCAGCGACACGACGGCGCCTGCGACAGAGGGCCCGCGGGGGTCAGCGCTGCGCGGCCGGCCGGGCGGGGCCAGCCCGCTGGGTCGCGGCTGCGGGGCGCTCACCGCACAGGTCGCAGCACTGGCCGAGGGGCCGCAGGGCGGAGCGGCAGGCGGCGGCCGGGCAGCGGCCGCCCACGGGCTGGAGCAGCGCGGCGCAGATCCACGGCAGCGCCTGGGGAGGCGCGGAGGGCGGAGGTCAGCGCGGGTCGGAGGCGGGAGCCGCGCCGCGCCGCCCGCCCCGCCGCGCGGGCCGCTCACCTCCGCGTTGCCGCAGACGCAGCCGGACCGGTCGGCGCAGGGCTGGGAGCCCAGGCTCAGCGAGCCCGGCCCGTGGAAGCGCAGACGGCCCTCGCGGGACGCCAGGAAGGCCGCCAGGTCCCTGTCGCGCGTGAACGTCTGCGGGAGGGCACGTGGGTCTCCCTCGGGCCGGCCCGACGCGGAGATCCCGGGTGCTGAGGACCTCGCATGCGGACGGGGGTGGACTCGAACCCTAGCCCTGCTCACCTGACCCAGGGCTGAAAGGCTGCGGATGCGCGCGGGGCTGGCGCCCGGGCCGAGCTCCACGCGGAAGGAGGCATTGGATGGGAAGAAGACGTCGTCGTCGCTGCAGGGCACGCGCTCGGCGTCCACAGAGAAGAGGCCTTGCGCCTCGTCCCGGGTACGCCACAGGTGCGGGTCCCACCACGAGAAGCGGTCCGGATTGCGGAAGACCGCGGGGCCCCCTGCGGGAGATGTCCCAGTCCCTGAGGCCCCGCCCCCGGGCGGCCGAGACCACGCCCACAGGACTGCCAAGTCCCGCCCCGAGAGACCGAGACCACGCCCACAGGACTGCCAGGCCCGCCCCGAGCGGCCGAGATCACGCCCACAGGACTGCCAGGCCCCGCCCCGAGCGGCCGAGGCCACGCCCACAGGACTGCCAGGCCCCGCCCCGAGCGGCCGAGGCCTGCCCCTGCGTCTCACCGGCGTTACAGTTGGGGTGCGGGCCATCACCCGCCACGCGGAATCCCGCTCCCGAGGCCAGAACCAGCTCTCCATCCAGCGGCAGGAGCTGCGGGAGACGCGGACTGAGGCGTGCGGTGCCCCGGGCCCTCTCCAGCCGGCGGAACCTTCAGTCCGGGCAGGGGGTGCGGGAGGCCGCGCTGCTGGGGCGGAGTCCCGGCCCGCGCCGCTGCCGCGGTCGCTGAGGCCGAGGTGAATTCCGTCCGCGCGTGAACGGTCGACGGGACACGCGCACCCCCTTTTGAGTTTCCCAGGATCTTAAATGCAAGCACCGCTCTCGGGCCCGACACCGGGGTCCGCGTGTGCCCGGCGCCCGCTCTTCCCGGGGTCGTCCTCGGGTCTCCTCAGAGCCTTCGGCGCGTGGAGACCGTGCGGGATGGGGAAGGCCCGGCACCCTCGTCCCGCCATCCCCGGGACTCTAGCAGGCAGCGGGAAGCGGCCCGGCGCCCGTCTGCGGGGTGGGCGCGGCCGGCGGAGCACGTGCGCGCTTCCCCGCGGCGCCGCCCCGCGCCCCAGTCCCCCGCATCCCGGGGACCCCGGGCCCCAACCCCCGCGCCCCAGACCGTACCACGTCGGAGATGGCGTGATTCTCGCGCACCAGGACAGTCACCGCCTGCGGGAGACGCGGGTCAGCGCGGAGGGGCCGACACCCCGGCCCCGCAGCGCCGACCCTGGCGGGACGCGGGCACCTTGTCCGCGGGGAACTGGACGGCGGCGCCCGCGCACGGGGTCCGGTTCTGGTTCCAGTTGGCGGCGGTCTCGAAGCCGGTGTTGGGGACCCAGACTTTGTCGGCGGCCCGGGTGAGCGCTGGAGAAAGGGCGCCTGAGAGCGGCCCCGGGAGGCGGCCCAGCCCTGCCCGAGCCTCGGCCTTCCCGGACAGGCCGCCTCCGGCCCGGCGGCGGGCGGGCGGCCGGGGCCCCGCAGAGGGACGTGGCCGCCTGGCGGGGCCCGACGCCCGACCCCGGGCGCGCGGGGAGGCCGTCGGGGAAAGCTCCCGGCCACGCGGCAGCACCAGGGCGCAAGAGGCAGGGGCCGCCCCTCCACGGGGAAACTGAGGCCGCTGAGGACCGCGCCCGTTCGCCCGCCTCCCGCTCCCGGGGTCCGCCCCGGGGCCCCTCGCCCCGGCCTACCGCAGAGCTGCAGCCACAGCAGGAGCCGGTCCGCTGCGCCCATCGCGCCCGCCGCCGCCCGCGCGCCTGCGAGACTTTGCCCGCGCGGCCACGAGACCCGGCGGGGCGGGGCGGGGCGGGGCGGGGCGGGGGGCGGGCGCGTCCGGTCCCTCGGGCGGCTCGGCCCCTCCGCGCCTCCGGGCCCGGTGCGCGAACGGGCTGAAGTCCGCCCGGAGCCTCGGGTCCCCTTCCCGGCCTCCGGAGCGGGCGGCGGGAGGGCGTGGGGCGGAGCGGAGGGCCGGGCCGCGCGGGTCAGCGGGCGCCGCCGGCCCGCCTGGTGCGGAAGTGGACGGAGCGGAGGGCCGGCCGGGGTGGGCCGCACGTGGCCAGCGGCGCGTGGAGGAGGCCGCCGGCGGAGGGAGCACAGCCCGTCCCGCGCTCCCGGCCCTCGCCCCGCCGACCCCGGTTCCGGCCTGGCACTTGGTGGGACCGGCCGCGAGCCCTCACCCGAGGGCTCTCCGGTCTGTCCTGCTGCTGCTCGGTGCTGGTCCTGGGCGCTGCCAGGAGCTTCCCAGCCCCGCTGCCGCTCTACCACCGGAGCTTCGGCGCCACGCTGGCTTCCGGCCCAGACTGGTTTTGAACCACGATCCCCAGATCTCGGCCTCCTGAGTAGCTGGCACAGGCGAAGGACTGAGACTTGTTTGAGGAGGAGGCAGCCCGCTCGCGGCCTTCGTCTGCACGGGGCTCTGCAGTTAGGCAGGGCCGGCTGCCGGAGGGGTGGCTGCCGGCCGGAACCCGGCCTCACCGAGGAGCCGCGTCCACGCGTTGCTGCTCCCCCTTCTAGGTGGACTGGGCGCCGGATCTCGGAGCAGAGCCGCTGTGCTGAGCCAGCTCCACCGGGGCAGGCGGTGGCCAGGGGTGGGGGGGCGGGAGACTCACGGGGTGGAGGCTGGGCCTTGGAGTGGGAGCTTCCTTGGCTGCTGCCCACTCCCAGAGCCTGCAGAGCGAGAGCAGTGTGTGCGTGTGTGTGCACACGCGTGTGTGTGTGCGCATGTGTGTGTGTGGGGGAACGGTTAACTCCTGGAAGAGGTGGCCTTAGGCGTTAATGAAACCAGAACCAGGTCAGGGCCGCAGCCACAGCGCTGCAGGAATCCATCCGCTACGCCCAGCGTGTGTCCACGGCAGGCCCTCACCTCACGCCCAGGAGAGGGCAGGAGGGGGGCCTCTGAGGAAGGGGAGGACAGACCCTTGTCTTGCTATCTGCTTTAAGGTCTCTTCCAGAATCTCACGATGTGGCTGGTCAGGGAGGGCAGTGTCATGTGGCTCTGTCTAGCTGCTGGTCGGTCTGTTTTGGGCTGGTCACCTTCCCGTGCTGGTCCTGGTGCACACCTCCCTGACCCCAGAGCTGGAATCCCTGAGGAGGCCTCTGCAAGGCCTCTGATTGGCTCTCATTTCCAGCTCTGCACCAATTGCTATGTTTTGGCCCACAGCCTGGCGGTGATGTGTGGCACCAGGGGTGACAGCTCTGCCACCTGCTGGGGGGAGGAAGGGGGCTGGAGCAGATGCAGGAAGGGCCCTGAGGCAGAGGCTGGGGGGGGGGGGGTTCGAGGTCAGGAGAGGAGCGTGTGGAGGGCAGACACTACTGGAGCAGTGGCTGCGGGAATCAGTTGGGTGCGGGCTGTGAGCGGAGCGGGGCTCCCTGGCCTGGATGGGGTTGGGCTGCTTACACCTGTCCTGTAAATGCTGTGTGAGGCTATACAACTCACCTTGTCTCTGTTGAGCCCCTCAGCCTGCTACACGGTAGCCGTGCCTGCTTCCCAGGGCACAGGCCCAGCTTCTGTTGCACCCCTGCCTAAGGCAGGAAGGGCACAGAAAGACAGATGGCCCCTGGTCTCTGGGCCAGGGGGAGCCATGGCTGGAGGTGAGGAGGGCACACTTGGGCCTGATCTGCGTCCCCTAGGCAGGGCCTGTGTGAAGCTGGCCGGGGAGCGGATAGGAAGGATGGGATGAGGAGGACAAAGGCAGTTAACTAAGGGCAGCTCGTGAGGGCAGCATCTCCAGCGCTTAGGGATCTCCGGTGACATGCTTCTCCGGAGCAGACCCACAGCGCAGGCCCTGGCCGCTCCAGGGCTCCACGACCCAGGGCCACAGAGCCTGTTGCAGCCCAGTTCTCTGGACCCAAGAGACTGACCTGCTCAGGAGGGAGGGGCACAAGGCACAGCCCGTGCCCACCTACCACCACAGGCCCGAGGAGCGGACGCCGCTGACCACAGAGCTGCCTGGCACCCAGGTGCCAGTGCTCTCCTGGCCGTCCTCAGCCCCCGTTCCTGCCGCTCCAGGTATCCTGGGGCCGGGGTGCCCCCACCCTGTGCAGAACTCGAGCTCCAGGCTCAGGGGTGGAAGGAAGGGCTGCCGCTCGCAGGCTCAGGTAGAAGGGGCGGGGCAGAGAAGCCCCTAGCTCTGCGGCTGTGCCGGGCTACCATGGGGCGTCAAGTCTGGAGGACCCAGTCCTGCGAGGCTCTGGCTCCACCAGCCTGGGGAGGGGCCTGACGGGGGGAAGGGGGGGTAAGGGCGCTGCCTGCGGGCCTATCCCCTCCCACTGGCCAGGGCCTCTGGAGGCTCAGGACGTGTCTGGATCTAGCTTTCAGCCTTGGAGGGCAGTTACGGCTGAGCAGGTGCTGTGGTGGCTCCCGGTGGCACCTAAAGGGAGTAGACAGATGAGGGCTGGGCACCCTGCCAGCCCTGGCCCAGAGGTCTATCTGGGGACTTGGAGGACAACCCGTGGGCAGAGCGGGCTCAACCCTGTCCCTGCACCGCATGGCTGACGTGAAGCGCAGGGGCTCGCAGTGATGTTGCCGATACTGAGCTCAGGTCTGGGAGCCAGACCTGCACACGCGTCTGGCAGGAGGCAGCAGCTCACCCTGCACCAAGCCCCTGCTTCCAGAGGCTGCTCAGGCCCCTCGGGCCGCGCCGGGCCGTGCTGAGCCAGCAGGCCTTGCTCCAGAGCTCCCGCAGCTCTGAGCAAATGAGGACCCAAGGCCAGAGGATGACGGCTGGAGGACGGGGCTGGGGCAGGGCCTCTCTCACCCCCAAGGCCCAGAGGTGACAAGCCCTATCGGGACACCAGTGACTCACACCTGTAATCCTACTTAGGAGGCTAAGCTCTGGGGATCATGGTTCAAAGCCAGCACAGGCAGGAGAGCACACGAGACTTTCATCTCTAATTAACCACCAAAAAGCCAGAAGTGTAGGTGTGGCCCAAGTGGTAGAATGCTAGCCAGTAGCACAAAGGTAAAGGGACAAGAAGGAACAGGAAGCACCCAGGACTGAGTTTAAGCCCCAGGCCTGGCACACAAAGAAGAAGAAACAGGGATTCTTAATCAGATTTATTTTCTTCTAATAAGACAGTTTAGCATTTCAAAGTTTCGCATTCTACAGTCTTACAAACTTTAGTTATTAGCATCAGAAACACAAAAACATCGCAAGACCTCAAAACAAATAAATACCAAATAAAACCACACACAATATACAGTAAACAAAAGTATGGAACATAATAATGCTTCAGGAATCAGATATGTTGCTAACTCCTAGTAACAACAATTATTGCTGAGCAATAACTCACACCATCCTTGTTTTCTTAGAAGAGCAGAGGAACGCAGGACTCGAGTCACTGGTCACGATCACTTGGACTGTCAAGATGGGTCCTCACAGCGAGCCGTTACTACAGACGGCAATTTGTAAAACAGGCAGATTAAAAATACACAGTCAAATGAGAGATTGGCCTTCTTTGGTCTTCGTGTTTTTGGGTAATAGAACTGAACGTAAGAGGTGTACCGTCAGAGAACAGAATGCAATTCTAGAAACGTGCCACAGTCTACGTGACTTCCACACTTCCTTCATCACAGAGGTTCTAGGTGTTTCTTATGGAAATCCTTCGAAATAAGGCCGGCTCTGGGGTTTCCAATTAAGCTGTTTAGTTTGCTCGTGAAGGTTGCCTCACTTGTCTGAGGGGACTAAGGTATAAAACCACACGCCGCTCCTACAGGAGTGGCGCAGGGACTCCGAACCCTTTCTCACGCTGAGCTCACAAGACAGACTCCAGATGCGGGGCGAGGGGAAGGGGCTGCGCCCCCCCCCACAACTGACCTCCCTGCGGGTCACACTCTGCCCACCTGCCTGGCGTCCAAGGCACGCTCCAACAAGCGGTGACACCTCAGGGCGCCATGGTGGTCTGCCAGGCAGCGCCATGACCGGACGCCCGGCCCGCCCGCAACCCCGACCTCACCGACACCCCTCATGGACACGGGTTACTCTGGGAAGAAAACAAAACTATGATTTGCACACGGAAGACAGAACCATGGTCTTGGGCCGAGAAGTGGGTGTGGGTTCAGGCCTCCCTCACACGCAGAGGCCCGGGCCTCGCAGCCTCCAAGTGAAAATCTGGACTGAAAGTAAAGAAAAAAAGCAGCATCTGGAGCTCTGTGGGGCGCTCCCGCGTGCGCGGCTGCCCGGCAGAGGCTTCCCCGTGGCACCAGAGTCTGCCGCTGACGGCCTTGTGCCACCTGTGGCCGTGGCGGAGGCCTGAGCCGGGACGGGATCCGCACTGCTGCTGAAGCCTGCCCTAGCACCCGATCCTTTCCTGGGTGCGACCCGCCCGCTGCTGGGGCCATGCGCTGACCGTCGGCGCTGCCAGCGTCAAGGGAAGGAGTGTTGGTAATGACAAGCCGGGATGGCGGGCATCTGGCGATGGCATGGCGCCACAGGGAAGCCGGTGCAGCAGGAATGTCGGAGGGCAGGGGGTGTGCAGGCCCTGGTGACCCCCAGCAGGTCGGAGCCCCGCCTCCCCGGTGCCACAGGCCCACGAGGAAACCGGGACGGGCAGAGAAGGGAGAGGCGGGACGCCACCGCCGAGCCAGGGCCCCTTTTTGGCTGGCTTGGGAGCACAGGGCCATGGTGCTGTCCAGGCAGAGTGCTCTGGAGGAAAGGGACCAAGACCAAGATGGGAGCCTCTCCCCATCCTCTGCTGGTCTGCACGGGGCACGTGTCAGTGTGCCCAGGCTTAGTCCGGGCTCCTGGGAGCTGCGGGGCGGGGGTGGGGGAAGGGCTG